TTTTTTTTTTTTTTTTTTTTTGGCAAAAAAAAAAAAAAAAAAAAAAAAAAAAAAAATGGTACATTACAGTTTATAATCATTGGTTGCTGGTATGTGTGTGACTTGTTGATATTTGTATTTTTATGTTATATCCAGTCACCTTAACAAATTCTACTGTTAGTTCTGAAGTGAGGAAATCTTCTATTCTGAAATTTCCCTAAATCTCTCTAGTCTTTTACAACATCACTCCCCCCCTCTGGTTTTTGACCCCAGGGGCCTAGATCTGTCTGTCTTACATCATGTCCTACAAGTCATGCTTTGTTCATTCATCTGTTTTAAATGGTGTGCAGTTGGGTACTTTCGAAATCAGAATAACAGCATTCACGTATTGTTCCATAAATGGGGAAACTATTTAACAAATATTCTTAACCAAGTGTTTTTCTCCTAAAATCATTTTTCTTCCAGACTGAAACTATAAAATTGGAAAGAGCAAATACTATTTTGAAGGGGAAAATAAATGTAAGTTTTTGTGAATCAATGCTTTTCAATAGAAATATTTTCTCTGGTGCCTTCTTGTACTGTGCCGTAAATCTAATAAGAATATATGCATTAGCTTTCTAAATGATAACTTTCTGTAATGCCAGGAATAGCCGGCTACCTGGATGTTAGCTCAAAACTGGAGCTGTAAGCTAATGTAATTTTTTGATTAATTTTTTTGCCAATCCTCACCTGAGGGTATTTTCCCATTGATTTTAGATAGACTGCAAGGGAGGGATGGGGGGAGAAGCATTGATGTGGGAGAGACACACACCAATCGGTTGCCTCCTGCATGCGCCCCGGCTGGGGCTGGGGATTGAACCTGCAACCCAGGTATGTGCCCTGGACCTGGAATTGAACCCAGGACCCTTTGGTGCACGGGCGGGTGCTCTAAACACTGAGCCGCGCTGGCCAGGGCTGTAAGCTAATGCATGAGAAAAGCTTTCTAAACAGTTGAGTCTACCTATCAGAATTTACCATTTCTCTAACCCTTCCACACTTAACAATTAATTTTAATGAGTTGATTTGGTTACAGTAAATATAATGGACTGGCTCCTCGATCAACTCCCAGGATACCCCTCCAACATTCCTGCTAACAATTTGCTGCGCAGTTGGTTATAATTCTGGTTCTTTTATGTGTGTCCCTCTCTATATTATACATGGAATGTGAATTAGAATGTTTTGCCTGATTCTAGAAGCGTACTCTGCTTGGGTTCAATATTACTGCCATTATACGTGACCATGTGATTTTTAATTCTCGGTAGATTATTGAAAACCAGCTGAAGAACTTAATGGCAAAGAGTAAGATGAGTGGGGAGGAGTTGCGGTAAGTACACGAGAAAGAACTGGCGTGACCTCGGGCCGTTCTCAAAACTGCACGTTTAAAATTAGATTGGACTAGACAGTGCTTTGGAAGTGTTTACATTCATGAGTCTTAACTCTATTTATTTACTTACTTACTTACTTATTTATTTATTTATTTATTTATTTATTTATTTATTATGTTTTTATTGATTTCAGAGAGAGGAAGGGAGAGGGAGAGAGAGAAACATCTATGGTGAGAGTCAATGATCGGCTGCCTCCTGCACGCCCCCAACTGGGCATGGAGCCCGCAGCCTGGGCCTGTGCCCTGACTGGGAATCGACCTGTAACCTCCAGGTTCACAAGTCGACACTCAACCATTGAGTTACACTGGCCGGGCTATGAGTCTTAACTTTGAATATAAATGTTACACCCTCCCTGTGCTTAAGAATGCTTAGCCCAAGATTTAAACCTCAGCAATATAGAAATAAACTCTCTAGAAAAAGCTGAAGAGACAAGGGTTACTTCTCATGGGCAGAAATCAGGAAGGTGGGGAAGCTCGTGGCTGGGGGTGGGTGGCTTTTCCCCCCTCAAATTGTATGGCGTTTATTGATATTAAATCTTTGAAAAGCCCTATACACATATTACTGTAAAACTTTTAATTTAAAAATAAAATGGCTGGTTTATATTTCCTGTACCTAAGTTTAGACTTTCTATAGTTAAATTTCTTAGAGTTTGTAATATGGTTCAAATCTTACAAGTTGGTAAGGCTGGGAGCAACAGAAAACCACTTAGGATTTAAATATGGAAAGGGCTGTCGGTATCAACAGTCAAAAGACATTTAGTAAGTGGTCTAGGTTCAGCGACATCGTCAAACAACCAGGGCCCTTCCACCCCCTTCCCTGTTTTCCGTGAGCGTAGCTTCCCTCAGAGCCTCCAAGGCTGTCTTCAGGCGTTGGGTCCGTGTCCCACGGAGCAGGAAAGGGAAAGAGAAGAACAGTGGCAAAAGCTTCTCCTCACGAGGCTTTTCTGTTTCATTAGGGGAGAAAAGCCCTTCCCAGGGTCTCCCACTCGTATCTCATTGGCCAGCACCACGTCCCAAGGCCTCCCTTGGCTGCAAAGGGGTCCAGAAAATAGAACATTTCAACACCAGCTTACACAGAGAAAGTGACGGGGAAAAGGGGTTAGAACGGGTGCCGAGTAAGCCATACAGGTGGATGCTGGTTTCCTGGGACCTGACAACATGTTCGGTGTCCTTAAAGGAAAACCATGTAGAATTACAAATACAAAGTTGGGAAGGCTCCTTTCGTAGCCTTGGCAAAGAGAATACATGGACCTAAAATTTAAAAATACCACCTTCGAGGTGCATCTGCCTCGGCTGCCACACTGTCCCTCGTCTGGAAAATGCTGCAGGGGACTTGCCGCTCTATAGAGAGGATCTTTGCTGGGTCCAAAGCCAAAGTTCTACTGAAAATATTCTCTAAGTGAAAGTGGAGGTTTGCAAAGACTCACTTTGTGTTTTTGAGGACGTGTGTCCTAAAGTAGATGTTTATGTAGAAATTTTCTTTTATGCTTATTGTCCTTTTTCTAAACCATTACATTTGTTTGTTATGCATTTTAAGGAACCTTTGGGAATTTATTAATGAATATGTAAAACCAAAAGAAACAGAAAATAACTCTGAAGTGACTGGACAAGTGACCCATGAAAATTCAGAAGCACCGTGTACATAGTGAGGATGTTTGCAGATGTATAAATTAATGGGGATACATCTCATTCTGTCACTTTCAATTTCCAATAAAATGAATGTGGTATATGTATCTTACTCAAGATTTTGAAATAAATACATGTATTCATGGGATTAATTTTACTTTTGTATCTATATTTATAACAATAGTCTGTGTGTCTTTTTTTATTTCATTCAATAGCTTTCTCCAGGGAAAAATATGTTCAGTCATTTGATGGGAATAAGAAATTCAGCCCTGCTGCAGTACAGATCAAACTTGTTTCTTATTTGCCAATGCAAGCTTATACATAGCCATTTAATAAAACGTCGTCACCTAATGTCCGTTTAGTTAAATAATCTTTGCTGATTGTACGTGATCCCGTGCTCCACAAACGTGAGACCACCAGCTTGGAGCTTTGCACTGCACATGGCTAAGCTGATTGACATTTTCCCGACAACACTGTGACAACATGGACAAGATAACATTGCCCCTTGGATGAGGTCACCCTACAACCATGGCTTACTGATTTCTTTTAAAAAAATGAACTTCAACGAGATGTGCCAAAAGACACAGAAGGCTCCAGTCTACACAGCCGCCCTCTGCTTCCTCCTGCTGTAAAGTCTGCCATCATAGTAATTTTTTTAAATATTTCTTATTGATCCATGAAATACTGAAATGAATTCAAGAAGTTATGAAATTAAATACATTGTACATATCATTTGCATCCCGTCGTTAAAGCCATTGACTATCTGAAAATGTTTGTTGTGAAGTCCCTGGTCAGGATATGCTTTGGGGGCAACATCATAATTGTCATCAGTAAGGAATGTAGGAACATGTTTATTTTTAGGAAAAAATTTTCAGCCTGAAGATGGAACTTTACACTAGGAGAGTCCTAGAGAACTTGGATTCTAGGGTTATGTTATTCCCTGGGGAATTTATAAGTGCAAAGAACCTCCAGCCTGGCCACTGGCTTTCCATGATGACCAGCTCGCTAGAGGTCATGCTTTAGAGAAGAAGGGATCCATCTTAGTATGAATTCAAGCAATACAAATAGATTGATAAACAATAAGGATCCTAAACAGCTATAATAAATATTGTAAATATGCACATAAAATTAGAGAAAACACATATGCCTTGGGGAAGAATATAAAACACATAAAGACCCAGTTTTAGTTCTAAATTAAAAGAAAAAAATACCATCTCTCTGGATGGAATGACAGCATAGCAGAGAAAAGAAAGCACTAGTGAACTTAAAGACAGAGAAATAGAAATATTCAAACTGAAGCACAGAGAGAAAAAAGGTTGAAAAACTTAATAGACCTCAATGATATAAGAAAATTCAAGTAATCTAACATACATGGAATTGAAGGACCAGAAGAAATAAGGGAAGTAGGAACATTTATTAAGGATGTAATGGTAAAAAATTACCAAATTTTATGTAAACTAAAAATACACATATTTAAGATGGTAAAAAAAAATCTCAAGGAGGATTAAAAATGCACACCATAATCAAATTGCTTAAAATAAGTTGTAAAAAGAAAATCTAATAAGCGTTAAGAACAAAAGACATGTATGGCCACCAAAACAAGAATTATTACAGACATCAATAGAAACTATGCAAGCCAAAGACAATGGAGACTCTTAAAACGCAGATAGTGCTGGGGGAAAACCCTGCCAATATAGTATCTACATAAAGTAAAAAATTTTTTAGAAAAATAATTTTCATACAGAAAAAAAAAGCTGAGAGTACTAGTTCTCTGATGAGCTGAACTACAAGAAATGTTGAAGGAAATTTTTTAGGCCAAAGAAAGTGGCACTAAATTAGAAGTTGGATCTACACAGAAGAATGAACAACACTGGAAATGGTAAAGGTTTGTGTAAATAGAAAAAGCTTTGTTTTTTAATTTTTTCATTTATTTAAGAAATTATTAATTTTAAAAGCGTAACTAAAGACAATGTACTGTGGAGTCTAAAGGATATGCAAAGTTCAAAGAAACAAGAGCACAAAGAATAGGGGGGGAAATGGAAGTGTGTGGCTGCAAGGTTTTTACACCGAGAGTGAAAGGTACAGTCGTGTCGAAGGCAGACCGTGATCATATAAAGATGCATATTATAAACTCTAGAGCAACCACTAAAAATGTAAAACATGAGGGCAAAAGTGCGAATCCAAGAGAAAGCATGGACAAAACAGGGACAAGAGACAGGGGACACTGGAGACAGGGACACTGTCAGCTCAAAACCAAAGGCCTGGCCTCGTGCGAGTTTTGAACAGGGCGTGTTCTGCGTGTGAGCCACCGGTGGCGGGGCAGCCTGCTGCGCAGCGTCTCGCGCTCCCCGGCGCGGTCCCTTCAGGGCGCTGCAGCTTCTCACCCGACCGCGCGACCCTCTGGGTGGCAAAGGCCTCTGAGGGCTGCAGGCTGCGGAGGCGGCTGTCCCCTCAGCCAGGGGCCCGCGGCCACCGTGCCATCCGGAGGGCTGAGCCCGGACCGGCTGCGCTCCCACCTGGATCCGCCCCCAGTGCTGAGCACATCACTCGGGGGCGTCCCCGTGGAGACAGGCCCATCGGGCAGGCGGCTCTTAGCAGGCGCTTGGCTTGTTGACGAGCCAACACCTTTGAGACGCGGGTGACAGTAACCTGATTCGGTTCGCACGGAGCTGCTGCGTCTACAAGGCCTCCCGCAGCAGGTCGAGGGGCTGCATCCTGATGGGAGCTGTTGAGGAATGAGCCCCTCCACCGTGGCTGGGTGTCCCCGGCTCTGTGCCAACGCCTCCACCGTGGCTGGGTGCCCCCCAGCTCTGTGCCAACGCCTCCACCGCGGCTGGGTGTCCCCGGCTCTGTGCCAACGCCTCCACCGTGGCTGGGTGCCCCCCAGCTCTGTGCCAACGCCTCCACCGCGGCTGGGTGTCCCCGGCTCTGTGCCAACGCCTCCACCGTGGCTGGGTGCCCCCCAGCTCTGTGCCAACGCCTCCACCGCGGCTGGGTGTCCCCGGCTCTGTGCCAACGCCTCCACCGCGGCTGGGTGTCCCCGGCTCTGTGCCAACGCCTCCACCGCGGCTGGGTGTCCCCGGCTCTGTGCCAACGCCTCCACCGCGGCTGGGTGTCCCCGGCTCTGTGCCAACGCCTCCACCGCGGCTGGGTGTCCCCGGCTCTGTGCCAACGCCTCCACCGCGGCTGGGTGTCCCCGGCTCTGTGCCAACGCCTCCACCGCGGCTGGGTGTCCCCGGCTCTGTGCCAACGCCTCCACCGCGGCTGGGTGTCCCCGGCTCTGTGCCAACGCCTCCACCGCGGCTGGGTGTCCCCGGCTCTGTGCCAACGCCTCCACCGCGGCTGGGTGTCCCCGGCTCTGTGCCAACGCCTCCACCGCGGCTGGGTGTCCCCGGCTCTGTGCCAACGCCTCCACCGCGGCTGGGTGTCCCCGGCTCTGTCCCAACGCCTCCACCGCGGCTGGGTGTCCCCGGCTCTGTCCTTCCCCTGCGGCCACCTAGTGAGGGGGGAAGGCCGGGAGGGGAGGGGCCATGGCAGCGCCCTGTTCCTGGTCCGGCACCGGGACAGACTCTGTCTCCTCTCCTACCAGCTCCTGCTGACGCCACAGACTGTTCCGCTTGGCAGAAGGTCAGTCACCTCCAGCCCACGCATGAGGGGTGAGGCGTTTAAACAGCAGCAGGACACAACCAAGAACAACGGCGGGACAGCCGCCCAGGAGAGGAGCCTGCAACAGGGAGACCAGCCGAGAGCTCCAGCGAGGGCGGGCCGGGCGCACAGGAGGCCCGTGGGATGGCCCCTAGTCGGACCCGCAGGTGCCTAGGCCCCGGGCCCCGTGGCCTGGCCCGGCCCCGCGTGGAGCCCGCGCAGGAAGGGGCTGGACACTGGACAACCGGCCACTCGGCAGGTTTCTGGTTCTTGGCGTCCTCTGCTGAAACAGCCGGCTTCAGGAGGGATCTGCAGGCGAGCCCGGCTCCCGCGGCCGGCGCTGTGTGTGCGGGACTGGAAATGCCCCCTCGCTCCCGGAGGGAGATGGGGAGCCGCTCCCCTGAACGTGCCGTTCCAAGGACGGATATAAATATATCAGCTCCGAGCGACATAGGTGTAAGTTTAAAAGGTACTATGTTCAGCAGCCGAGGGCGGTGCTTGGAAAGAGCGCACCCGGGTGCGGCTGGTCACGGCAAGTGGCACAGACGCCCGGAGAGCAGTTTGCGTGGACGTCAAGGCTCAGACGGCGGGCGCGGTTTCCGCTCTGCGAGCTCGCTCTTGAGGATTTCTCGGAGGAAGATGATCGGAGATGGGAAAACCTGCTTAGGATGATATTAAAATAGCGCAGATGTTGCCAGGCCGGTGTGGCTCGGTGGTTGAGTGCTGACCCGTGAACCAGGAGGTCACGGTTTGATTCCCGGTCAGGGCACGTGCCCGGGTTGCGGGCTCGATCCCCAGTTGGGGGCGTGCAGGAGGGAGCCGATCAGTGACTCTCATCACTGATGTTCCTCTCTCTCCCGCTCCCTTCTGCTCTCTGAAATCAATAAAAACACATTTTAAAAATTAAAACACCTACAAATTGCTTTAAAAATCCACAAATGTTGCTTTTTAAGAGATATGTACAAAATAGATCTTTTTTTATTTTATACAGTGGAATATTGGGAAGCAATTAAAATCATGTTTTAGAGGAATATGTAATAATTGGGAAAGTAACACTTCCATCTCTGAGTGATGGCTTTTCTGTTAACTTTTTTTTTTTTTTCTTTTCATTTTGCAATTGCTGCCATTTTAACATAGGACTTTGGCAAAAATCTCAACCAGAATTAGACAAAGTTTCATCTTTATTTTACAAGGTTAAGAAGTTGAGATGTGAACATTTTGTATTTCTGAGCTGAATCCAAAAGACAAAACAAGATTAAATGAAATATGGCCAAGGAATTGGTTTGAAGTATTTAAAAATAAGAGCTGAAGACAAGAGATCGACTTATTTGATGAGCTTCATAAACTATTAGTGTTTTGAAGGATTTTGTATTTTTTTATCAAAATACTGAGTATATCTTTTAACTGCTTAACCTGATGGCAAAAAAAAGCGTTTTATTTCTTCAACTAGATGGGGCCTTGGGTTGTGAATGTTTGTCTACCTGGAGCCCTCGGGTTTGAGCGTTTGTCTGCCTGGAGCCCTCGGATTGTGGGCATTTGTCTACCTGGAGCCCTCGGGTTTGGTCTACCTGGAGCCCTTGGATTTGGGCAATTGTCTACCTGGAGCCCTCGGATTTGGGCATTTGTCTTCCTGGAGCCCTTGGATTTGGGCAATTGTCTTCCTGGAGCCCTCGGGTTTGGGTGTTTGTCTGCCTGGAGCCCTCGGATTGTGGGCATTTGTCTGCCTGGAGCCCTTGGGTTTGGGCATTTGTCTGCCTGGAGCCCTCGGATTGTGGGCATTTGTCTTCCTGGAGCCCTCGGGTTTGGGTGTTTGTCTGCCTGGAGCCCTCGGATTGTGGGCATTTGTCTGCCTGGAGCCCTTGGGTTTGGGCATTTGTCTGCCTGGAGCCCTCGGATTGTGGGCATTTGTCTTCCTGGAGCCCTCGGGTTTGGGTGTTTGTCTGCCTGGAGCCCTCGGATTGTGGGCATTTGTCTGCCTGGAGCCCTTGGGTTTGGGCATTTGTCTGCCTGGAGCCCTCGGATTGTGGGCATTTGTCTGCCTGGAGCCCTCGGGTTTGGGTGTTTGTCTGCCTGGAGCCCTCGGATTGTGGGCATTTGTCTTCCTGGAGCCCTCGGGTGTGGGTGTTTGTCTGCCTGGAGCCCTCGGGTTTGGGAGTTTGTCTACCCGGAGCCCTTGGGGTGTGGGTGCTGGGCCGGAGGGTCAATGTGACCCCACCCCTGATGTTTCCAGTTCAACATGAAGTTTGCATTCCTTTTTTCAGCATATTTTGTTTTTCTTACAAAGGGCTGAAACTCAGCCTTTGATACAGTCTCATTTGCAGAAGGAAAAAAAAAAAACCCTGGGAAAATAGCACATTGGCCTTTAAAAATACGCATCGATTTTACCCTAATTCTTTGCTGTGGGATCATTTTAAAGTTTGAAAAGTAC